CACTGATTCAGTGTTCGTTCAAAGACTTTATGATTTTTGTCTGTAAATCAGATTCACACTTTTTTTCCCAATCATACTTATCATAGATCTATCGTTTTGAACAATTGGAAAGTTAGTCACTTGTAATAAAATTTTATAATATATGAAATTTTTTTTTCTGCTGCACATTTTCAATAATATTCAGAGTATGGCAACAGATGGCAATTCAAAACTAGAGAAAGTTTTAATTTGTGGCTACATAGCTTCTGCAGTCATGTTGCAGAGATTTCTTAAGCGTACGCAAGAGAGAGTAGAAAACTTTGAAATTTATCGGTTTTTATAATCAATCCAAGAATTGAGATAGACTCTCTCTACATATCCTTATCATTTAATCATTTTATTAGCTCATCTGAGCCGAAGGCTCAAGTGAGCTTTTCTGATCAAAGAGTGCCCGGCTTCCATCTGTCATTTGTAAACTTTTCACATTTTTGACTTCTTCTCAAGAACCACTGGGCCAATTTCAACCAAACTTATCACAAAGCATTCTTGGTTAAAGGGGATTTAAGTTTGTTCACGAGAAGTGCCACGCCCTCTTTCAAGGGGAGATAATTGTGAATTCGAGAAAATTTGTTGGCATCTTTTAAAAACATTCCTTTCAAGAACCACTGACAAGAAAAGGTGAGGCTAATATGAAAGCTTCATTACATATTTTAGATTCAAATTTGTTCATATCATAACCCCCGGGGATAGGACAAGGCCACAAGAGGGGGTCGAAGTTTTACATAGGAATATATAGGAAATATCTTTAAAAATCTTCTTCTCAAAAACAGCAAAGCCATTATTAGTCATATAATTATACAAGCATCCTCAGGCAGTGTAGATTCAAATTTGTTCAATTAAATTTAGGGTGGGTACAGTGGGGCGACAATTAGCGATCAGAGTTTTACATATATAGGAATACATAGGGAAAAAATCTTTAAAATTCTTCTGCTTAAGAACAGCAAAGCCATGATTAGTAATATTGATATGGAAGCATTCTGAGGTAGTGTAAATTTAAGTTTGCCCCCCCCCCCTTTAACTTTTCAATACTAGTCTGATTTCTGCTTTTTCCTAGCCAATGTGATTAGGTGAGCGATGTGGCCCATGGGCCTCTAGTTAATATTTTTACCTGAAAGCAGATTGAAGCGTCAGTTTATCAAGCCAACAAACTCTAATTTTTTACAATTGACTGAATAAGCAAGTTGAAAAATAAATAAATTCATGAATTATAATTGTCCTGAAAGAATGTTAGTCAATTGAAACATGAAGGTGTTCTACATCCGTGATATAGAAGTAGATATACTAACATGTATAATATATTTTTTGTAATCAAAACAGAAAGGGCAAATTTGATCTTAACTTTTTTTCATGTAATAATTTTGCTTTTGAAGATCTTACCAATCGACAATAAAAATAATACAGCTGATACCCATCAATGCTGAAAACGTTTTTTTGACTTCTTTTATCAGTCCAAAAAACCTCTCAGATTCTAGTACAGTAAACGTTGAAATAGGAAGTTGTACTAATTTGCGTCTAGACATACGGGTATGTTCAGACAATTAAGCATCCATACATACGAGATCGATTTTGTCATCAAATAGATTTTAGAGATGGAAAAGCTATTTTTCGTGTCATGATATAATGTAGCTTTTATCCCAATAGTGAGGATTAACAGGGACATGCTATCCTCCCATTCATTATTTCCCCTTCCCTCCTTACTCCCTCTTCATAGCTTATATAAATGCAATCTTCTATTTGAACACTTTCGTGGCGAGTCTGCTACATTTTTATGGTGTTTGAACATGTTCTGAGATCTTTTTTATCCGGGGCAGGCTACTGACAAGTAAGTTGATGTTACAGGGCTTTCAAAAATCTCTTTTAAAGTCAGCATTTCGCAAATTATAAAATCGTTATAATACATTGTTTGCAAACACAACATATCGAATATTTTTACCTTGTCATAGCAATTGTTCGGTCATTGTTTTTATACCAACTTTGAATACAGATTACTGAAAAATGCAGAGAACCCACCGAGGGTTTGACCGTGCGTCAGGGGATGCTTACTCCTCTTGGGCATCTGATCCCACCTCTGGTGTTTCCAGGGGTCCGTGTTTTTGCCCGTTTACAATTCGTACTTTTTTTTTACAGGAGCACCCCGTGAACACTTCTCGATTAAAATTTGAATTGTTTAATCATCAAATCTATGACAAATGGGAAATCTGTAGTTTAGAACTTTAGGTAGAACTTAACATATTCACTGGATCATTGTAAATTGCTCTTTTGAACTTGGTCAAGGAGATTGGGAAAAAGAGCTAGCAGAATTAAGACAGAGAAGGGAAAAGGAGAGAAAAGGAGTGAGGAGAGAAAAAAAGGGTAGGGAGAGGTGTATGCCTAAATTTCTATTCCAAATTATATACGTAAGGGTAATTTTGCAATTAAAAATATGAAATCAATGAAAGTATTATACTTTTTTCCATTAATGATAACCCTTTTGATTTATGAGGAAACTTTTAAGTGATATCATTGGCTACATATTAAGTGATTCTTCTTAAATCCCTTTCATATATACAATTTCAGGAAATAAACGTATTTTCAGCGTCCGTATGTACTTTCGATTTTAATTGCATTCCGTATTTTCTTCCATGTTTTAGCAATGCCCAATTCACAAGACCGACCAAGTTATTGATCTTAGGAACTGGAAACCAAAAATAAGGCAGGTATGACGTGAAGTATACTGAATCAAGATTATTTCAAATCTATCCATATGATTAATATTAGGATGCAAAACAATATGTAATTATAATACTACAGTCAGATATTCTCAAGTAGTGGACAAGGAATATTTAAGGTAACTCGTTCAGGCTAAAAATAAATATATTCTAAATATATCGACAGGATCTTGATAAATCTTTATCATACTTTACAGCATCAATTTCTTTTAATCGTGATGTTTTCAAACATTCATCTTTAAATTCGTGAGGCATGAAAAATAGGGAGGTGATTAATTACTTCATGCAATTTGTCAATCTTCAACATTATAATGTGTAAACAGGTTATATATGATCATGATTTTATTTGCCAATAAATTAAGTAGTGTCTATTTTAATGGTGGTTTCAGGCAAAACTAGTAACTCAGGTAAATATTCCTGAATTGATTTGATTTACAGAGTGTAATTTAGACATTCACTTTCTGAGCGATAAAATCAATTAGCAGGTATAAAGAATTATGATTTTTTAATCAAACATGTTTGCTAAAATAGAGAAAAATATTTAATCAGTAGGTTTAAAATGACATCCTTGGACCGAGTGATACGTCTAATTCATAACGAACAGTGTAATTTCCGGGTGTCTGATGATATAGTCAAAGACATAGAAGATATGGTGGTTCATCTTGTGAAAGACCTACTTCCGAAACTTATAAAAAGCTACCCAGGTTGTCATTACTCTGTAGCAGAAGTGGTTGACGCAGGAAGCTATTTCGAACAAACCAAAATAGAACTCCCGAACGAGTTCGATTTTATGCTAGTTGTGGAACAACTGTCAAATGAGGACTCCATTTCTTTGACGAAAGGATGCAGAGAGGGGTACGCACATGTGGGGGTGGTCAATCAAGAACTATGGGATAGCGCTGAACCAGATGACGGTCCCGAGCGTCGGTTTGAAATTGCCATGTTACAGTTTAACATGTTTGTAAGAGAGACCTTGAAGCTGCTTCTATCAGAACCAATAAAAGGCAGATTAGGAGAGTTCACCATGAAAAATATCACAGTTCGTGGAAAACCATATAAAGCTTTTTCCCACGTTCAGACCTTGACATTAATGTGGACTAAATACAGTCCTGTAGATAACCATTCAAATACAAAAGTGGAAATACTGTATGAACGACAGACACAAGAGGAGGTAGAAATTTGTGTTGATCTTATGTCTTGTTGTCATTCTTCACTATCTGCATTCAACAATCTCCTTCCTAAAATGTCTTTGAAAAATGAATTGCTGAAGAAAAATGGCTGCCACATCGTTCTGAAATCATGTGAATCCGCGCAGTGTGTGGAGAATCAGGCAGAATGTCGGCTTATTTCCTACACTAAGACAGAACAGGAATGTATGAAGAGACTACACGTAAATTGGAAGATGGTGTATAAGGTTTTAAAATGGCTGTTCCATTATACGGATATTCTGGAGATAGACACTTACAAAATCAAGACGGCCGTTCTCTATTGCAACACGAAATCCGGGGCTGATAGTGGCATTAATCTAGGAGAGGGATTAATAAGGGTTCTACGTGAACTAAGGAAGAGTGCCTATCATAACAAGTTACCTGGATTTTTCAATTCCTCGCTGAATGTCTGGAATATTAGTCCCTGTTATCAGTATCTTGTCAAATATGAGATCAATTTTCTGCTGAAACTTTTCAATAAAATGCAGAGTGTACCAACAGATAATGACAATACAAATTTACAACAAAACATTAATGTTATCAATTTGTGGCTACAAAGCTTTTGCTCCCATGCTGCAGAAATCGCAGAAATAAAGAAATCAAGATTAACTGGAATGGATTGCTTCAACTGGCAGGGCAACGTGTTCCTAGAAATCATGCGAGATATGGAACCTGTTCTCAAATGTCACAGAAGGTTTGCTTGGGTTCCGTTTCAGATGAAGTGTTGTATCCTTGGCGATGTTTTCAAACTTCTGACAATTATACTTGTCAAGAAAATATCCAGTATGTGGCTAGTACTACTTTAAATATCTGTCTGAAGTTAAAAGTTATCCAACAACTTCCTGCAGGGTCAAGGGTTTTACAATTACACATGTATATATTTTGCAAATGTTTGTTTTCTGAGTGTTCTTTGTTTTCTTTTTAGCAAAATGTCTACTGATTGTGATTATTTGTACAATTATATAAAACCTCAGATATTATGTAAAAAAGAATGAATTATATTAATTGAATGTTGTTTGGTAACATTGACAGTTCTGGTTATATGCACAGCAAATGTGTAAGCACGGGAAAAAAAGTTTGCAGAAATCAGTTCTAGTATAAATGGATTAATTAAAAACAGGTTTCATAGGATTCAAAATCATTGTCCAGAAAGTTTCATATGTTGTTGTTGGAATGGAGTCACATACCTAGTAGTCATTTGAGGATTTTTTTTTCAATGATATTCATGAAATCTTATACTTACTGCACTGTACATGCATGCCTAATTAGGAGAGTCAGCTTTCCTAACAATTTTATCCACATTTTCATTAAAAAAGAAAAATATAATACAGTAAAACATGCTTATAGCGAACATGCTTATAATCAATTGATGCTTACAGCAAAGTTTTTTTCAATCCGTGTGGTTTTAAAATATATTGTGAACTAAACGGATATAACGAATTACATTTATAACTAATCAAAACCGTCCATCCCTGGCACTTCATTACAAACGTGTTTTACTGTACCTATAATAAACATTTACTGGGTGTCTTAATTACAGAAATTACATATTCTACTTAATTAATTGAAAATATGGATAAAATTGTTGTGGAGCCAACCTCTTCGGTATATTGATGATCTCAATAACTGAAATTTGATAAGTACATAGTAACTATAACATGTCAAATTTATGGGTAATATTGTTAATGTATATTAATTAACGGTATGTAAAAATTATAAGCAGGACTATAGATCATATCACTTTTGTTAAACAAACAATCAATCATGATTTTATGCTGAGTGAAGTAGAAAAAAAATGTACTAGTCTAGAGTTTTCACATTTTTCATTGAATGGTTGTGTATATGTACATGCAATGTAATAAAATGGACATACATGTATCATTAGAAAGTAATCAAAATCTATTTGATGTATATTGGTGAAAGAAATATAAAAAAACATAAATTTAAAAGCAATTCTCTGATGTGTACATTGTAAATTAAAATTAATATTCAACAGTATGGAATACATGTACTTAATCACCCCACACAAGCATGATCTGTAACCATGGTAACAATACCTATACCACAAAGTGAGAAATAACAACACTTCTTAGCGTGTATTCTCAGGTTTGTTATATATTCTACAGGGTAAATAGATATAAAATGATAGCAGGTTTATATTACTTACCTTTCTGTGTTAACTTTTCACTGATAAAAGAGTACTTACATGTATATAGGTAAATTGTAATTACTTGACTGATTTTATAAAAGTTTTTTTTTTTAATTATTTCATATTTTGAAAGAAGCGAAATTGTATCAAATGCATCACTGCTTGGACATGATTGTGTCTTTACAGAACAAATGGAATTTATTTTTCTAAATCTCAACTTGAGAAAAAAAAGAGATGGTTAAGGAAAAAGGATAAATACTAATTCTGAAATAACCAAGCTTTACCATGAAGATACTAATGGTGCCATAATTTTCATGAGATTTAAAACATTAAAAAAGATACACAATTCTTTTTCATATGATAGCCTATTTACTATATTTACATTATTTGTGTATTACTCCTACTTCCTATGACTCCTATTCAATCCTGTACTATTATTTTGAAGAAAAGAACCTGCAAACATTGCAAATAATACATTACTTACATATCGGAAAGTTACTAAAACATTTATTGACTGTACAGTTGATACTTTTATCACATTTGGCACATAGTGTGTCCTACATGTGCCTGATTATCTATGGCCAATACTGTCCCACCATTAACTCTCCTTGCCTGTGGTTAACAGTTTGAGGGCTTTAGTTAAATTGTCTATGGCTGTTGCTGGATCTTCATACTGAAGTGCACTGCTGGCAAATTTACAGAACTTCTGAGCTTTTTGGTAATCTTCTGACTTTAATTTCACACCACCTATAACATAGTTTATAAGAAGGTACATTTACATAACCAGAAAGACAGTTTGTCAGTAGGTACAATTACGTAACTTAAAACTGTAGTGGAAATGTGGATTTCCATTGAACAAAAGGACCACCTTGCTTATCAATGCCTTTTTTAGGTCACCTGAGTCACTCAGGTGACCTATTGCTATCCGTTTTCGTCCGTGGGCGTGCGTCGTGCGTTAACATTTGAACATTTTCAGCTTCTTCTCTGAAACCGCTCAACCAATTTCAACCAAATTTGGCATATAGCATCTATGGGTGAAGGGGAACAAAAATTGTGAATTTCATGGTCCCTGCCCCCCTGGGGCCTGAGGGGTGGGGCTAAAACCACCAAAAATAATGCAATCTTTAAAAATCTTCTTCTTTACTCCTGTACATCAAGCAGTCAAACTGTTGGCATCATTGTAATAAGCATTGAGCCCTCTACCAAAATTGTGAAATTCATGGCCCCAGGGTCAGGGGTTCTGGCCCCAGGGTGGGGCTATATAGATCATATAGTGAAAGTGCATTATTTCTTTGAAAATCTTCTTCTCTGCTCCTGGGTATTGAATAAAGTAACTAAGTACATAGTTATGAAGAGCAAGAGTGCCTCTTCCAAAATTGTGAAATTCATGGCCCCAGGGTCAGGGGTTCTGGTGTTAGGGCGGGGCTCTATTGATTATATAGTGAAAATGCATTAATTCTTTGAAAATCTTCTTCTCTGCTCCTGGGTATTGAATAAAGTAACTAAGTACATAGTTATGAAGAGCAAGAGTGCCTCTTCCAAAATTGTGAATTTCATGACCCCAGGGTCCGGGGTTCTGGTGTTAGGGCGGGGCTCTATTGATTATATAGTGAAAATGCATTATTTTTTTGAAAATCTTCTTCTCTGCTCCTGGATATTAAATAAAGTAACTAAGTACATAGTTATGATAAGCAAGAGTGCCTTTTCCAAAATTGTGAAATTCATGGCCCCAGGGTCAGGGGTTCTGGTGTTAGGGCGGGGCTCTATAGATTATATAGTGAAAATGCATTAATTCTTTGAAAATCTTCTCCTCTGCTCCTGGGTATTAAATAAAGGAACTAAGTACATAGTTATGATGAGCAAGAGTGCCTCTTCCAAAATTGTGAAATTCATGGCCCCAGGGTCAGGGGTTCTGGTGTTAGGGCGGGGCTCTATAGATTATATAGTGAAAATGCATTAATTCTTTGAAAATCTTCTTCTCTGCTCCTTGGTATTAATTAAAAGAACTAAGTACATAGTTATGATGAGCAAGAGTGCCTCTTCCAAAATTGTGAAATTCATGGCCCCTGGGTCAGGGGTTCTGGTGTTAGGGCGGGGCTCTATAGATTATATAGTGAAAATGCATTGATTCTTTGAAAATCTTCTCCTCTGCTCCTGGGCATTAAGGTGATAAACTAAGTATATAGTTATGATGAGGAGGTGGGCCTCTTCCAAAATTGTGAAATTCATGGCCCCAGGGTCAGGGATTCTGGTGTTAGGGCAGGGCTCTATAGATTATATAGTGAAAATGCATTAATTCTTTGAAAATCTTCTTCTCTGCTCCTGGGTATTAAATAAAGTTACTAAGTACATAGTTATGATGAGCAAGAGTGCCTCTTCCAAAATTGTGAAATTCATGACCCCAGGGTCAGGGTTTCTGGTGTTAGGGCAGGGCTCTATTGATTATATAGTGAAAATGCATTGATTCTTTGAAAATCTTCTTCTCTGCTACTGGAGACTATTTAAACAAACTAAGTGCATGGTTATGATGCATAAGGATGCCTTTTCAAAAATTGTGAATTTCATGGCCCCAGGGTCAGGGGTTCTGGTGTTAGGGTGGGGCTCTATTGATTATATAGTGAAAATGCATTGATATTTGAAAATCTTCTCTGCTACTGGAGATTATTTAAAAAAACTAAGTGCATGATTATGATAGACAAGGATGCCTCTTCCAAAATTTTTAAATATATGGCCTCAGTTTTTGGGGTTCTTGAGGAGGGGGGGGGGGGGCTCTATTGATTATATAGTGAAAAAGCATTAATTCTATTAATTAATCATTAATTAATCCTGTCTGCTCCTTAGTGTTGAGCTGATAAATAAATTGCCTAGCTATGATGGAAATGGGAGCTTTGAACAGAATTTTTAAATCTTGTGGTCCTAGTGTGAGGGGTTCTGGCATAACGAGGGGGGGGGGGGGGGGGCTTTTGATAATATAGTGGAAAAGTGTTAATTCTTTGAAGTCCATAGTTATGATGATGAGGGTAACTCTTCCAAATTTGTAAATTTCTTGACCCTTGGTCTTTGGTTCTGGTGTTAGGGTAAGGCTTTGTTGAATCTGTAGTGAAAATGCATTGTACCTGAGAAATTCTTCTCTGCTTCTGGGCATATCGGAAGCAAACTGAGTAAAAGTTTAAATGATATGAGTAAGCGTATTTCTACCAGATTTTTAAACATCTGGACCATTCGTCTAAGCATTCTGGTCCTGGGCAGGGCTCTATTAATTTGTATTCTACTGAGAGAAGTTATTCCCCTTTTCCATTCACCTTTGATAATTAATCACTGTAAATAATGTATTTGAAAGGTTAATAGAATAAGATAATTATGCAAGAATGTTTATCGTATAATTAAAAAAGTACTTTCTTAGTTTTAATAATCAGGTAGACCTGTAAGTAATAGATAAATAAAAATGAGACAAAAATAACTTATCTTATTAAAAGTTCTTCAAAGACCATAAGAGAGGTCAATGCTAGAGGTAAAAATAGTACAGAAGCACTAGTCTGCATGGTGATAGTGTAAAGTGGGGGACAGATTAGAACTTCAGTTATGAGTTGATACTGAATACTAGACTAATTATTTTGTTGATCCTGATCTTCCTACTTCTCTTGCTTTAGGGCACATTGCTTCATCTATCAGTGTATTTAACTTCGAAATTGTTGTAATATATTCAGGTGACCGTTAAGGCCCTTGGGCCTCTTGTTTTCTATGATACTAGTATACTGTAAGTGTACACTTTTTTCCAATGAGGTCAAAATTCTGCAGAATTATGATTTCTGTTCAATCCACAGGTAGAAAATTACACAGATTTCTTGAATATGGGTTGTGATTACTATGGTATCATACCAGACGTACTGGGATTGGACGAGGGTTTCCATGTGTCCTGTGGTACAGATGTGGAGTGTTGGGGTTGGGGTTACTATGGTATTATACAAGATATACTGGGATTGGACGAGGGTTTCCATGTGTCCTGTGGTACAGATGTGGAGTGTTGGGGTTACTATGGTATTATACAAGATATACTGGGATTGGACGAGGGTTTCCATGTGTCCTGTGGTACAGATGTGGAGTGTTGGGGTTGGGGTTACTATGGTATTATACAAAACATACTGGGATTGGACAAGGATTTCCATGTGTCCTGTGGTAGGGGGTGGAGTGTTGGGGTTGTGGTTACTATGTATTATACAAGATGTACTGGGATTTGATGAGGATTTCCATATGACCTGTGGTACAGGTGTGGAGTGTTGGGGTTGGGGTTGTGGTTGTGGTTACTATGGTATTATACAAGACATACTGGGATTGGACGAGGGTTTCCATGTGTCCAGTGGTAGGGGGTGGAGTGTTGGGGTTGTGGTTACTATGTATTATACAAGATGTACTGGGATTTGATGAGGATTTCCATATGACCTGTGGTACAGGTGTGGAGTGTTGGGGTTGGGGTTGTGGTTGTGGTTACTATGGTATTATACAAGACATACTGGGATTGGACGAGGGTTTCCATGTGGTACAGGTGTGGAGTGTTGGGGTTGTGGTTACTATGTATTATACAAGATGTACTGGGATTGGACGAGGGTTTCCATGTGACCTGTGGTACGAGTGTGGAGTGTTGGGGTTGTGGTTACTATGGTATTATACAAGACATACTGGGATTGGACGAGGGTTTCCATATGTCCTGTGCTACAGGTATGGAGTGTTGGGGTTGGAGTTGTGGTTGTGGTTACTATGGTATAATTATACAAGACATACTGGGATTGGATGAGGGTTTCCATATGACCTGTGGTACAGGTGTGGAAAGGTAGCATTGGGGTGTGGTTACTATTATGGTATTATACAAGACTTACTCGGATTGGACAGGGGTTTCCATGGGTGTGGAATATTGGGGTTCGAGTGTGGTTACTATGGTATTATACATGACTTACTGGGATTGGAGGGAGGTTTCCATGTGTCCTGTGGTACAGGTGCAGAGTGATGGGGTTGGGGTGGTGATTGGTGGGTGGCCTGTGAAGGGGCCTGAGGCCATCCTTGAGCTCCCCCTGGTGCAGACTGTGTCCCCGGGTGTGGTTGATTTCCTGAAGGATAAGGCGGTGAGGGCTGATCTGGTGGCTGGCTACTGTAGGATGAGGGCCCTGCTGTGGCATCACTGAATGTGGAAGGCTGTGGTATGTCTGTAAAATATTTATAGTTTGAAATAGTGAGGATAAATTTTAAAAATGAGTAATGTTTTCTTAAATGAATTTTTAGAATTGTTTGTAAAACATTTATGCAACCCTTACTCATCCTTTCAATCAAAAGAAATCAAAACAAGTTGAATGTCTGCTTAAAGTTTGATGACTATCAAGCCAAGAGTTAAAAAAATATTAATTTGACAAAAATTTGAAGTGGAATAAAGCAGGAAACCTGCTAACTGACTTGGATGACTTACAAGGAGAAGGTCATAAGGATATTGGTTAGGCAACATTTAAGGTGGGCACAAAGAAAAATAAGTGATCTTTAACCTTGTTATCTGAAAATCATTCAAAAGGAGCCATCAATTTATCATTGTCAACCAGTATTAAAATTTTGATGGCATACCAAAGGATCTTCAAGATGGCATAAATTGTAAATATTTGATGTGTGTATTGGAAATAAACCGGTGACCTTTCACCTGAAAATCAACATTTATCATATGTTTTTTTATTAGAGACCTATGTACAAAGTTCGATGACAATGAAGCATTGAATCAAGATATTTAATGTGGTATAGCAGAAAATCAGATGATTTTTGACCTGAACACCTTTAGGAGTCATTAACTCATCGAAGTAAAATATATAATGTTTAAGGACGATCAAGCAAAGGGTTCTCAAGATAGTCATAATGGTTGGAAACCTTTGGTCAACTGACCAATCAACTGACAGCTGCAAAGTAATGTTTCACACTAATGACCAATCAACTGACAGGTGCAAAGTAATGTGTCACACTACTTCAGAGGGGGCATAATAAATGACAAAATGGATAAAAAAAAATAAATTAAGAACAACAACCCCATCAACACAGAGGAGCATTAATTACTTACCTTCCTCGTCATTTTCAGGTAAAGGCCCAGCAATGGGGGTCTCTCCATTCCTCAGACATTTGTGGATGTAAGCTGCTTTCCATTTGGCATATTTTTTGTTCTTCTCAATCTGTTTAATGATATGTATCACTGTACAAAACATAAATCAATAAGTAATAAATGAAATGCTGTAAAACCTAATCATAGCTTATAGCATAAGCATGTAGTTGTGAAAAAAATAATCTAGAGATCACAGCTGACAATTGAGCTTGGTGCACGAGAATATCTAGAGCAAACTTGGACTTATTCTTTGGACATGAAAAAGGAATATAACATATCTATACCACAATGTATAATTTAAGCTATTTCTACAGATGTACATAATTGAATAGTACACAAAAGAAAAAAATACTTACATCTTCACTGACTTCATCAAACACAGAAAGAACATCAAACAGCATTCCTGCCGTGTAAAATGACTTGACAACATTCCTAGAATAAATTTTGACTCGGTCAATCAGTTAAATGTTATTCAATATATAATAATAATAGATAGAGTGGAAGTTACTTAGAAGTGTTTCTTTCTTCAAGGATATGGAAGTAATAAAAGAGGATGTAAAAAATTGTATTACTATAGATTCAATTATAAATACAGAACTGATTGGTAATTTAGGAGTATAAAAGCTAAAATTTTGAAAACCACTAGAACGGTATTGAAGTACGTACTACCAGTAAATTATAAATGATGATATAGAAGTATGTACTAAATCATGTAAATTATAACTGATGATATAGAACTATGTACTAAACTATAACTGATGATTCAGAATTATGTACTAAATTATAACTGATGATACAGAAGTATGTACTAAATTATAACTGATGATATAGAATTATGTACTAAATTATAACTGATGATACAGAAGTATGTACTAAATTATAACTGATGATATAGAATTATGTACCTAAACTATAACTGATGATTCAGAAGTATGTACTAAATTATAACTGATGATATAGAAGTATGTACTAAATTATAACTGATGATACAGAAGTATGTACTGAACTAGAAATCTGACCAGTCAGGAAGGGCCCTGCCAAGGAGTAGAAATATAAGGGTGCAGATTAGTGGATGAGAATTTTACTTGATTACAAAAATTTAAAAATATATAAAGAAGAATAAGCAACAGCAACTGTATTTATAAAATTTCAAGATAATTCCTAAATATCCAACAACCTGTAAATAGTATCCTTGTATTTACATAAGGCAGTAAAAAAACATCATATCTATAAAAACTCAATTAAATGTATACCAGTATTTAAAGAAGAATGAAGTATGAATTTTCTAAAATACCAGCCTTCAGTGAATGCAAATATCACCCAGGCTTGATCTTACTTTCAAAACAAACATCAGTTGCAGAAAAAGGTGTTAATTAATCCTAAAGTGACAGAAAGATAATCCTCAAATTTTCTGCAACCTGCAAGACAATCAATCCCAGGGGATTAATTATATTACTCTCTCAACCTTTTCTTCTTCTAAGCTTACAATAAGAACTTTTTCAGCAATGATAGAATGAGGTCATTATCCGAATACCTGTTAAAATAAATAGTATTCTTGAACTAACATAAGGCAGAAAAAAAGAAAGAAAAAAGAAAAGAAAAAAATAAAATAATAATAAAAAAGATACTGTATCTTTATCTACATCTTGTTTTTAGAATTAAATAAAATCATAACTCATTGTGTATTTTACCAAAGTAAAGTATGAACATTATTTAAATCCACATTTCAGAGAAAGAATTGACCTTAACTTCAAAACAAACTTCATTTGCAGACAGAGGTGTTAATTAATCTCAATGTGACAGATAAAGATAAATGCTTTGGATTCTCTTCAAGAGGAAAGTTAATTAATCCCAAGAGACTCATTGCAGCCTTTCATAGTTTACAATAGGAACATTTTCAGCAGTTATCTCTCTTTGCCCATTCACTCTTATATAAAGTTAAGGAATCTACCCCACCACCCCAGCTCAAACCCAGATGACATAGAGAAGCAAACTTAGCATCAAAATATGTCTTACTGCCTGTTCAACCAACATACCAAATTTGAACTTAATTGGTTAACCCTAAAAAAAGTTATTAGAAAAAACAGAAAATTTGTGGACAGAAGAATGACAGATGGACAGACAGACAGATGGATAGACAGACAGACAGACAGAATGATTACTATAGGGCACCCGCAAATCCTTGCGGGGCCCTAATTATAACTGATGATATAGAAGTATGTACTTAAGAAATAAGGTATCATTTTTAAACATCTATCGGGATATAACTACGGGTTGGTCACGAGATCAAATTCCATAAAGCCCGAAGGGCTTTATGGTAAATTTGATCTCGTACCAACCCGTAGTTATATCCCGAAAGATGTTTTAAAATGATACCTTATTACTTATATTTACATTTGTGACTTATTCATATTATATATTAGCCTGATTATAACCTTTAATGTGTGAAATGTTTTATTTTTTCAAACTCAACGGCACGAGTTTGATCTACTGATTGCGCGTCGACCCTTTATGATGTCACTGAGAAATTACCTCGAACGTTTATGACACGAGGAACCCGTGTTTATACGGATATAGATACGCGTTGTTTATAATAGTGTTATATAAAAGAAGACATTTGCAAATGTAAATATTAAATTAAAACTGTTTTGAATTCCTACTTGTTATGTCTCCCAGCCCTGTCCTCATTGTCAGCATACAGGAATACTTTCAGGGCATAGTTCTCAACATGTGCTTGACCTACGACCTCATTTTTGATTGGTGAATCCTCTGGGGCAGCTTGCTTTTGCTGCAAGAAAATAAAGATGTTTTTTTATTCATTATATAAAAACTAAATTCCTATTTGACCTTTGACAAGGCTTCTATTATTTCATTCTCATAAAATTTACACAAATCACACATATTTTTTTTTTGAAAGCTATCTCCAATTTTGTCAATGAACAGTTGTTTGACCTTTGCTAATTTAATTGAGAGTAATTTAATTTTTCAATGTTTCATAATATAGTTGAAGAGAAAATTTACCTTCTCCAAGAAACCCATCAACCCCATTAAGTAGTTCTTACATTCTGCAGGTCCAGTCCAAAGGCTATTTCTACCTACATAGCTATTAATAGGTACCTATAGGTAATTAAACCTACTTGAAGTAGCTACTTCTATCTACTTTTACCTGTCTTTGAAAATAAAATTAAATAATAATTAAGACACATCTTTAAAACAAGTCAAACTTGTTTATTATCTTGTGCACTTTGAGTTTTATAAAATTCTACATGTTAACTAATTTGAAGACTTTAGGAAAGTGGAGAATGAAGAGGAAATGCATGAAAAATCATCCCCAAAACATTTCATCTAAGAATGCATGAAGATAAGTTTTAAAGTGATACAGATTTGTGAGACATTTTAGACTTGGTTTTGATCCTTAGCTTTCAGAAAATTAAACCAGATGTAGTTTTTGATGCAAAATTCATTAAGTTAGAACAGAAAGTAATCAGTTTTTGGCCAAAATTTGGTATTCATCATCAGTGCAACTGTATTAAGAAATTTAGTACTTACCATATTACACCATTCCTGCATTTGGCCACAAAATGCAGGTAGAGCAAAAAGTAGGTAAAAATAGCTACCTTGAGTAGGTTTAAATACATGTACCTAGGTAGCTAAAAGTAGCTATTGGTAAATTAAAAATAGTCTTTGGACTGGACCTGTTCTGTAACAGGACAGAAAATTTACCTTCTCCAAGTAATCCATTAATCCCAGTAAATAGCTTTTACATTCTGGAGAGGAGCTGTCTATTTCTATTCCTTTCTTTACTGCATAAAACCGACCTGCAGAGGACACAAAAAATCTTTTGAGAAAGAAAGTAGAAGAGTTTTTGTTTGTTACCAGTATTTGACATAAATATGTCCTTTTGTTTGTCAGCAAGATATCTTTCTGATTGAAATAAGTTGTAATTTATGGTGAGAATAAAAATCAGTTGTTTCTTATGAAATTTGAGAAAGGGGAGGAAGAACAAGCTAGAATTGGAAGGAGGGATGCTGATGGACATTTTTTTTCTTTGGTCCTTCAGAATGGTCCTGGAAGCGGAGGGGAGAAAGTGCGATGGACCAGACCAGGATTCAAACCTGGGTACCTGATCTCTAGACAGGTGAAATACCTCTGTATTCTAAGCTATCTGACTATGGGCGATTGAACTTGTCTGACCACCATATTCTTCCCACCATAGTCCATGTAGTCAGATGCATTACATTACTGAAAATTTTGAAAATTGGTCAGTCAGCATTTTCTTTCATTTCCAAAAAATATATTATATCATTACCAAAAATTCAAAATCAGATATTAATGTGTGGCAGAAGAAGATTACAACTGCATCTAGAAATACAATGACTATGTATATCAGTAATCTGGAGAAATGATCATGATGATAGGGAAATAATGCTGAAAATAAAAACATTTTAAAATGGACTGTAAACATGTATCATTTGAAATTGTGCTGCTAACTTAGAATTAATTGAATTCTTCATAAGCATCCTGCTCAAAATCCTCCTTTTGCTCTCTATTAGAGAAGAGGAGCAACATTACAACCTGGGTGATGGAATATATATGAAATTTTCAGAAATGCTATTGTAATCTGTTTTGCAAATTAACTAAAAAGTTTTCAGTAATGATTTAAAAATATTTTCAGTATTGATAACAAAAATTTCTGTAAGGCAATATCCATTTTCAGTAATGCAAAACTGCACCAACTGTCTACAATCAGTGCGGGTGACTTTATTCATTTACATGTGTAATGATTTGGGCCGTGGATATCGGCCTGGATAGCTCTGTCAGTCGAGCACCTGACTAGTGATGAAAGGGTCTAAGGTTCAATTCCTGATCCAGCTATATACATTTTCTCCTTTCCTGTTACAGAATTTGGTGCCGTTGACCACCACTGGACTTGCAGGTGAAAGTCCTGCTACATGTAGGGGCAATTATGCAATTAAGAACTCTGGCTATATGTCTTCAAAGGCAAAGTCAATTTAAGGAGGGAAGAATGTAGTGGTTTGGTGCATGGATATCATCCTGGATAGCTCTGTGGGTAGAGCACTTGATTAGTGATGCAGGGGTCCCAGGTTTGATTCACGGTTCAGCCATGCTTTTTTTTCCCTTTCCTGTTACACAGTATTCCTTTGTTTATTTTTAGTATTTAAAGTGGTTTCTACCAATTTTGACAACAATATATATACATGTAGCAATTCCTACTTTAAATATGTTGTGCAAAAATTTGACTGAATATTGTTCACATGTGACAGTTTTAGATGTTTAATGGTATAATATATTTTGATTATTGGAACGTTCAACAAAAGATGACCTACAGTCACTAGTAGAAATATTTTCACGTTGATTAAGGAAGCAAACTTCTTTGACATAATTTCGAATTTACACCACAATTTATCCCGTCAAATCTCTTAGCCCTATCTTTCTACAAAAATTTATCCCCCATATGAAATTACAGACAATACTTTTAACTTTACAGTTTTATTACTACAACTCGCCAATTGTGATTATGTCATTCATAATTGCATGATAATCATGTAGGCCTACAGTTTTGACGTTTAAGAAGATAACCGAGTACATACAGTAATATGCTACCACCGGATCTCGCTTGTCATGCTCGATCGCTGTCTTTATGTAATGCCCGATAGGTTTTAACTTTGCAGGGAGTAGATCCAACGACATCTTTGATGGTTTTACACGCCAAACACTGATTCAGTGTTGAATGACACTTTTCTTTCGAAATATAAACAACACTTTTCCTAGCTTCTAAATCAGAAGAGTTCTGATTCAGGGAGAGACAACTCCTTTGTACACGAAAGTAGAAATGTCGCCAAAAATGTATCACATTTCATAATATAGATATTTAAAAGACGGCAATTAAAAACCGTACATATTTTAGATATGTCTATGTGGATAAATAATTAAAAAAAGAAAAAATCCCAGTTTTTAACGGTGTTTTTAATCTTTAAGAGGTGTAAACCCAATGAAAAATAAGCCTAGGAGGAATTAAGAAGCCATGACTGACCTTTTTGGCTTTTTGACCCCCATTGTAGTAAAACTAAATCTTGTATCTTTTTAAATAATTTTCATTACAATTTGTCGTGTAAATTGTGCGCATACTGTATGTGGTTTTGACCCAATTTGCACACAAAATAAATTCTCCCGACTCCAGTGATTCAGTTAGTGTTTCTCTGCTCTACCGGCGTAATTTTAACACATGCTTGTACAAGATCTGGGACAGAGCATATAGAGGTATGACTACTTTTTAAAAATGAAATCCTTAATCTGCGTGTGTTTACAGGTATGCATGCTGATGCATTTCAAGATCTTATTATTTTGCATTGAGTTCTCTAAATTTGATGGACCTTTCAAGGTAAAATAAAATACATGTATAAGCAACTGTATTCTTTAGAATCATTTAAATGACGAATCAAAAGATGCTTTCCCGTTTTATCTCCCTTTAACTTTTTTTTAATGATACAGATCTAGACATTCCCGTTCGCGACAGGAAAGGCGCGGCCGGGGGGTTAGGCGCACACTCTTAAAAGCCTGCATAAGGCATATTAATAAACTCTTAAGTTCTTGAAGAATAATAAAATGTCCCATAAATGTACAATTTCCCTATCTTTCTTTCGTGCACTATACTTAATTCACTATAGCTCTTTTCCTTCAAGATAGGGAATATTTTTATTTCGTTCAAGTTGAAATTGGATCCACGTACCCCAGTCAATTGCGCTAACTAGTGCATGTATATTTCATCCTTGGAGCATACATGTGGAGGTAAATTATAGACATGTCTTGTCTGCAGGTAAACACGTTTAAAGCTCACTATAGGTTTATTTATGATAATGAAAGATTACAGGCGTAAAGTTTGTAAAAGTAAAAAATTGTATTTTTAAAGAAAAACAAATGGAAATCAACAAACGCTTAAATAAAAGCATGAAACAAACAAAACGAAACCAGAAAGGCATGTTTGGACAATCCTATAAGTGTTATGTTTCCTGTAGATGCAGCGAATTTTACTCGATATTTCAGATTTAAGTGTTTCAATAACTGTCGTGGAGTGCTGCAGCACTGATTTGGTAGATAATGTGTAATATGTACCCTATAACACAGAATTAGGGGATTTTTTTATATATCTAATTAAAAATTCATTAACAAATTCACAATTTAAAACTTCCCTGTTACAGTAGCATATAGTCTTACATAATATTATAAAACGTTCATTCTTTAGAAAACAAACTTATATAGGCACTTGTGAACGATTTCCCGTTCGTAATTCTATAGTACTTGACGATTGTCTGGTGATAAAAAACAAAACAAATCTCATCAACATGTGATACAGTTTAATTTTATGTATTTTGAGTCTGTGCGGAAGTCAACGCAGGACAGGGAAGTTGTGAGCTTGTTTCTGCAGCTCTGTCAATTTTTGAAACAGATTGACAGCACAAGACAAAATGGCGACCCAAAAGCTTGATTATCAGGGTAAGGCCAACATTATTTTAGAAAAAAAATCTTTACTTCATAAATTAACTGAGGTAGATAGAAATTAATTCAACACTTTATTAAAGTCTTCCCCATGGATTGTATTATAAAAAATGGAGTTTGTGATATAAATAGGAATTACATTATTCAAGTTTTACTTTTAAAATGCACAAAGACTGCAAGACTTGTTTTGATATTTTTCTTGAAGAGCTGATCTAGTCAACCCTTGCCAAAACAGAGACGTGTTCTCAAAAGCACAAACACGCGTGTACACATAATCTTTAAATTAAGAGATCTTTATTTCTTTTAAAGAAGTTATAAAATTTATATATAGTTTTTCTGGAGTCTAAATTTTTACAGATTTTAAATGTAAGATACATATTTTCCGAGAAAAAGTCCATTATAAGAAAAGACAAGACACACTTTTTATCCTATATTGATAAAACTTAAACAATTCCAGCTGCGTGTACTAGGAAGTGTACGGAAGTATAGGAAACGGAAGAAGATATGGAGGATATATTTTTTTGTTCTTAAAATAATTATGCATTTTTTAACTGGGATCGTTACATGGGTTTTGTAGGACATGAAAACCATACTGTTTGCTCGAGGCCGTTCGTCGAAGGGTTCGGCAAAAACATTATGCCCGAGAACCTATTGTAATAAGGGACCCCTCTATACACTATAGCAAAATGTTTTTTGGAGATCAAGAAAATTATATTGTATAAAAGTGTGAATATTCATCTTCTCTACTTAATTTTCAACATTAGGTACCCCCCCCCCCCCCCCCACACACACACACACCAGGAAGATGTTCAAAAAACAGCGACATATTGATAAACAGAAATCACTGTTGATCACAAAATTAACAAGTGGCCCATAGGCCACAGCGCTCACCCAAATCAATATGGCCTTTCCTTCTACAAGAGCAGATTTTTTCTCTTATATATTCATATGTCAGTGACTTGAAAATATACTTGTCATTGGTCATTTGCAAAAAAAGTTTTTTTTTTTATTTATATTGTTAAAAACATTCTAATTCAGTAATTGTACACACAAGTACTCTGAAGTTGATATTAAAAAGATGCGTGAGTTTCTGATTGACGTTATCTATGTACATGTAGGTTTTATAAATCATGTCTTAAAACAATCTGCTTGAATTCCCATGGGTACGAATTGCGTCCCGTTATTAGTAGACCTATTTTTATATTCAATTGAAGCAGAATTTATTCAGAAACTTCTACATGAGAAGAAGAAAACACTTGCTGTGGCCTTCAACTCGACATTTAGATCTATCGACGACGTATTATCAATTAACATTAGTTACTTCCATTCATATGTCGATTTGATATATCCCAGTGAACTTTAAATAAAAAAACACCACAGAGTCTGCCACATCTATTTCATATTGGGATATTTACTAGAAAAAGACGTTAATGGTAAACTTACAACAAAACTCTATGATAAACGTGATGACTTCAACTTTTATCGTCAACTTCCCTTACTTATGTAGCATTATGCATATATCGGGTTATGTTTCCCCCTATCTAGATTTTAAGGATATGGAGATCAGAAATGTTCGTTTGTAGAATGAAAAGGAGGGGAGGGGGAGGGGGCAATCGAGTTCGCATCCTGGTCTGGCTCAGCGCATTTTCTACCTCCCTGTTCTTATTTTTTTTTGGGGGGGGGGTATTTTTTTTTTTACAAAAAGGAATGCTACTGCTGTTATATGAATTTTAAATGTATATATAATAACATTATGAATTAATAATTTATGTACAGTTGTATATATCATGCATATAGCACGCCAAATTTAAAAAAAAACATATATTTATTTATTATATATATGAATTTTTTTAGGTGGGAAAGCGTATGGTGAACGCATGGAGATGTTAAGCCAGAAACTGTCAGACATTAATGAGGTAGGGATGTATTATTATTTACATTGTTTACTCGCTATTTTTACGGAGCACCATACAGTTTTATATATTATGCTTTGTAAACTTCTGCATTATTAATGTAAATACTGGATGCTTCTTTCATCAAATTGATAATAAAGATATATATTTAAAACAAACAGATTTTCCTTTGAAAATCATAAACTATATATATTCTACTTGCTCGTCTTTAAAGCACAAATGGCATAATGTCACAGCGTTACTGAAGTCCTTTTGTAACTGTCATTATCTTTGAATAAATTGAATATACAAGTACTTTCCTATATTGACATAGAATTCATCTTGATTTGATATATTTTACGAGCCCTTTTATATCAAGCACTTTATCATTTCTTCAGGACTTTCTGAATGACAAGGACTACTCAGAGGTTGAAGATTTGGCAGAAAAATTAGCACAGTATAAAGGTAAGACGTTAGCACAGTATAAAGGTAAGAAGTTAACACAGTATAAAGGTAAGAAGTTTGCACAGTATAAAGGTAAGAAGTAAACACAATATAAAGGTAAGAAGTTAGCACAGTATAAGAGTAAGAAGTTAGCACCGTATAAAAGTAAGAAGTTAGCACAATATGAAGGTAAGAAGTTAGCATAGTATAAAGGTAAGAAGTTAGCACAGTAGAAGGTAAGAAGTTAGCAAAGTAAAAAGGTAAGAAGTTAGCACAGTATAAAGGCTAGAACTTAGCACAGTATAAAGGTAAGAAATTAGCACAGTATAAAGGTTAGAAGTTAGCACAGTAGAAAGGTTAGAAGTTAGCACAGTAGAAAGGTAAGAAGTTAGCACAGTAGAAGGGTAAGAAGATAGCACAGTATAAAGGTAAGAAGTTAGCACAGTAGAAGGGTAAGAAGATAACACAGTATAAAGGTAAGAAGTTAGCACAGTATTAAGGTAAGGAGTTAGCACAGCATATAGGTAAGAAGTTAGCACAGTAGAAGGGTAAGATGTGAGCACAGCAAAGGGGTAAAAACGGTCACCAGACAGAGTGTTAGTTTAATAAGGTGGTGGTCTTAAGTCATACAAGACAACAAACTAATTAGCTTTACTTTTCTTTCAGAAAAATTTTTGGAGTTCGATTTGGATCAAAACCTTGAAATTGGTAATGTTTATATAATATATGGACACAGAGAAAATTCAGTAACACATATATATTGTTCCACTTGTAGTTTAGGCACCTTTTGATCGTTATTAATTGTGAAAATTGGATTGCCTTAGGTATGATGGCTATGAAACGTATGATGGAGAAGTTGGGACAGGCCAAGACACATCTTGAGATCCAGAAAATGATCAAAGAAGTAGATACTACAGGGTCAGAGACCATTAACTATCGCGAGTTTGTCCTCATGATGCTGGGCGGCAAAAGCACGATCCTCAAACTGTACGTAACTATCCTCAAGTTAACAGTATAAGTAACCCTTCCTTATCCGTTTAACTTAAAGTTATTAACCATTCTCAAATTATCATTATAATTAATCATTAACCGTGGACGTGTCAATCAAACGCGTCCCGAAATTCGTAGTTTCAATAATTTCCAGATAAATTAGGCAAGGTAAAGGATTTTCTCGATACAATATAAACTCAGTGAAGATCAAGCTAACTCACTTAAGACAACATTAATAAACTGGACTCATACCTAGGTTGTATTTGTCCTAAAAACTGCACGTTAAAGTGGCAAAAAGTCAATCCTTCAGCTTAAGTATGATTATCCCGGGTACTATCCTCACACTTTATATATTGCCCACAACCGATTCTGTCCCAAACTGTACAATTTGCTTACGAGAGATTATGTCCTCAAACTGTACAATTTGCTTACGAGAGATTATGTCCTCAAACTGTACAATTTGCTTACGAGAGATTTTGTCCTCAAACTGTACAATTTGCTTTCGAGAGATTATGTCTTCAACCAAACATCTTGTTTGTTGTGGATTCTGTTCTCCAGCTCTGTATTCTGGTTGCAGAACCTTCTGTCCTCAATGTGGGTGTGCTTCGTAGTGAGTTTTATCCCCAAAGTATACATATAAAAGTCTCAGCAGATGTTTCATTCTGTCCTCAAAGTATACTTGTCATATAACCGCCTCAGCAGATATTTCATTCTTTTCTCATGTATGTATATAACGACTTCAGCAGATGTTTCATCCACAGCACAACCATATAACATATCTGACTAAAAGAATTCACACCGAAACCTGGATCATTAAATACAAATATATGTACATACAACAATTAAAGGATATATCTATAGTTATATACATTTGGTATCTCTTAGTTATTGTAACATGTGCATGGACTTATCAAAACAGGACAACACATGAATGTAGTAATTTAATATGTAATTAAACCTGTTCTTTTCCTTCAGAATTTTATTTTTTGAAAATATCGGCCGTGCAGAGGAGATTAAAACAGGAGTTCCACCAAAGCGCTCCCTAGATAGTCTTCCTTGAAGAAATTGTGGAATAGAAACTGTACGCCTTTAATTATTTTTAGGACAGTAAATGTTAGCTCTGTAAAGATGTACTTGTCTTTTCTGTACTCGATGTAAATTGACCATCAAATAGTGCTGATGTTCTACAGAGCATGGTGAAAGTTCCAATGAAATCCTCTTAATATCAATAAGGATGGATTCTTATGACATTTCTCCTGTATTATCAAATTTCTCGACTTCACACAACATAAGGTATAAAATGTTTGTGAAACATGAGAATGAAAAATAAGTGTCTGCCTTGATTTATAGTCATTATCACTTCAAAGTCACTATATTTTTATCAACAGTTACTGTTGTGCAGAAGAGCTTTTTTAGTTATACATGTACTCCAAACCATCGCTTGTATCTGCTTGGAAAATATAAACGCATCTTTTCAAATATATTTGTTGTATAATTTCAAAGTAAGTAAAGTAAATGGTTTAAGAATCAAATATAATGTGGGTTTTATTAACTTGAATTTACTCTGATTATTTTTGCTACTATAATATCAATAAAACAGAATTATACTTTTGCCATTTTTAAAAGACAATTTAAGCTTCTGTCTAGGGAAACATGTTAACAAAAAGTAAGGGTAATGGGGCATTAAAAAAAGTACAACGATGTGTCTCAGTGTATTCTGCTTCTAAAATCAGACCAAAACTGTAAGAGACCTTGTAATGTTTTGAAAGTATTTTACAGAAATTTCTTTTAAGTAACCATATGGCAACACTTCACCGAAATCAAAAACCGATATACTGAATAATGTATCTTAGTGTAGTCTACGTGTGTGCCAAGCTATATTAAATTGAAATCAGATCAAAACTGAAAGAGGAGTAGCGTTTTGAAAGTAATTCACAGTAATCTTTATTTCTAGTAACCATTGCAACATCATTCATCGAGATCAAAAACCGATACTAGTATACAGAATTACATGTCTGTATCTTAGTGTAGTCTACATGTGTGTAAAGTTATAATGAAATCAAACCAAAACTGAAGGAAGAGTAGCATTTCGAAAATTTGTTTACAGATGGACAGACAGACAGACGAACCTACGTCAGAAATCTTACTATCGCATTAGCTCTTCTGGTCTCTGATAAGCAGAGCTAAAACTCGTGTGTAATTTTATATAATAGCAAGTTCAAGTGTATGGCATCTAAAATAGCCTGCGGGAGGAAGACAAATAGAAATTAAATTGTAAAACTAAGTTAACTTTTTGTTATATCTTCAAATGATTTGAATTTATTTCTCATGAAAGTAGAAAGTCATTGTTTTTTTTTTTTTCATGGCGAAGAATATAGTGACATTTCACTTCACCACCAATTTAATGCCCTGTTCACACGGAGAGTTTAATTCGCAGTTAATTAATTCGAACTAAACTAATGCGAATTAAACTAATGCGAATTAGATTGCGTTCACACGAGAGCTACTGCGAAGTAAACTAATGCGAATTAAAATTATATTTCTACAGTACAAGGCTATTCTGTAAGCCTATTATGACGTCATTTTCAAATCACGTCACATTGTGCAGAGCAGAATGTCATAGTGTCTGTACACATTTTATTGATTAACATAATTTTCTTTGGTTTTCACTCAAAAATAGCACAAATTACTATATCTGACCACCGACAAGTGGTCTTTGACTTAATTCTGCCCTTACGCATGCGTCAAAATTTAATTCGAATTAGCTTCGCTTAGCGTTCACACGGAGCTAATGCGAAGTAATTTAATGCGCAGTAAATTAATTCGAATTAAACTAATTCGCGTTAAATTCTCCGTGTGAACGCGGTTCAAATTTAATTCGCAGTAACTTACGTTTAATTCGAATTAAACTCTCCGTGTGAACAGGGCATAAGAGAAAATTATGCCCCCTTTTTTATGAGACCGTCTTACCAGCATATGTCAAACGATAAAATTGTGTCGGTAAAACAAAAATATAGCTGAATAACGTGTGGTAATTAGACTAACGATACTATGAAAAAAAAATATAAACTTTTGTCTCCTTTTGTTACAATGCTGACAAGCCTTCTTAATCATACCCTCTAATGATTGTTGAAAGGAGGAAAAACAAATCCGTCCAGGATAAGAACGATAGACTAAATCATTGACCAGACATGTATTTGTTTTCCATTAAGAAAAATGGGTATAGGAAATATTTTGAGAAACGACAGATGCTGAACCTGTCTGAAACTGCATGCATTGAAAGAAAAAAAAAAAAGACGAAAAATCGAACAGGAAAAAAAGTGCCCGTCCGAAAAGAACTATTCAAGCAAATTTGTTTTATAGGCCAACCTTGATGGTGTCTGCTCTATGTTGCCTGCATAGGATACCTATAACAGACACACAGATATCACTTTGTCTGTATATCTGTTTTCATGTCTACCTGTGTTGGAGGAATCACAACTTCACACATAGAGCCTAGAACACTCTTATTTCACATTATATCATCGTGACGTCATGAAGATATACATCTCAGTAAGATAAAAACATGACGTAGAGATTTAGTTTTTACTTCAAGTTTGACCCCAACAATTTCTGTTGTAATTGAATGGTGGCTAGATCTTTATATGCCGGTACCAGCGTATCTGCCATTTTTATAACATTAGCCATGACGAAAGTAAAAAATACTAAACAGATTGAAGCTAACTTACTGCTTCAAGTTTTATTTTATCTTGGTGTAAAAGACATATTAAATTAATTATAATTTTAGTGTACTTCATTATATATGAAATCCAGCTTTCTTTATCGTCGTGGCCTTTCAGTCGCAAGAGATTTTGTCTAACATGAAGCCAATGGACATGTACAAAGAAATATTACTTTAGTTGGTTTAATATTGAACGAGATTGTTGTTATCCTTGAATCATTAACTTATTTGTCAGTATCCTGCCTCTTTTTAGAAATTGTTTGTACGTAGAACATGCTCCTGCGTATCAAATGAACAGGGAGACATAAACTCCATATGCAGGTGATAATGGTATATCAATATATAAATAAGGATAGTCAACAATATAGAAAAGTTGGTCATAATTTTTTCATAAAGAATAATCGATATTTTGCCATCAATATCTTTCTCTTGTAAAATATCCAGATATGACACATATATGTCAGACTCTGTAGTGCTTTTTTTTCAATTTTAATGGGATATATAGATTCAACGTAGGAATGAAAATGAAAAATATTTATTGATAGGACTGAAAATGAATAATGTTAACTGATAAAACGTCGTTGATATACAGCTGAATCTAAGTGTCGAATTCAAGAGACTTCTCCTTTTCATGTTGAAATCTTGCAATAAATTCTGCTTCATAAGAATATAAAAACAGGTCTGCTAATCACGGGACACAATTAGTACCCATGGGAATTCCAACTGATTGCTGAAAGACCTGGTCACCAAAACTGCATTGATTTGTCATAAGAAACTCCAGCATTTTATAGGTACATGTATCAACCTCGGAGTACTTGTATAATAGTATAGAATCAGATTTTTTAAAAACAAAATGATTTTGCAGATGACCAGTAACAAGGTATGCAAATTTACTAGTTCCATTTTTATTGAAGATGCAACTGTTTATGAATATAAAATTCCGGGTACGTTTCGATGCTATTGATTTTGGTAAAAGTTTGTGATTTCAAATTTTCTAAAAGTTTCCTGGAGATTTTAAGTATCAGCTATTAATATTTTGGTGAGGAGTAAAGAAAGAGACTTGGTAAAACAATTACTAAAACCTCTATGTATCTTCGAAGGGATTTTTATGAAGTTAAGGAATCCAGTATAGATATGGTGATTCAAATTCAATTTAGTTGTATGGAATATACAAAATATTTTAAATTGACATCAGAGTTGAAGAACGTCCAACTTATAATCAATTCTTGTTGCCAAGCTATATTGAAATCAGACAAAAACTGGGTATTACTTGTGATAAACTGTGAGCAATTCTATTGAAGAAATTAAATGAGAAATTGTTTTGATCTAAAAAAAAATTAAACCCTTACAAAAGATTGTAAGATTTAGAACCGTCCCTGTTACAAGTACCTGGGAACTACCGTTTTGAGTAAAACGTTTCGTAAGTGCTTACTTCATAAAGATGAAATGTGAAGCTAACAAACATGGATGAAGCTCAAGATACAGTAAAGCAAATGAGAGGAGAGCAAAGACGAACCATGGAAACACCACAGATGGGAATCAGGTGCCATGGGAGAGTAAGGATCCCTAGCCAAAATTTCGATTAATATAAGTTCAATTTCGTTCACCAATAAGAAAAACCTGAAACATTGTTACTTTTGATGAGGAAATATATACATTTTTTTCTAAAATATATCACAAGTGTGTAGCTATTATATTACAGCTTAGACTGCATGGAAAATCACTATAAGTCAGAAACAAAACACTAAAAGATATTTTATTTCAATGTACTGTTTTTTCTTCCTTGAAATGAGGAAACTTTATTATTTTAGTATTTTTCCAGAAAATATAAAATCGTTAAAGGAAGAATTTTATCAAATTGCCATCTAGTATTCCTGTCATTTACTTTAAACTGAATTTGTAAAAATAAACCATCACTAAGAACAGATAATGATATCAATAAATATTTTGCAAATCTACGGTAAATACAATGACCTTGATTGCAAATTTAATGTTTTCATATGTCGAAGTTGACTGATGGTTTTCATACAAATTGTTAGGCCATTATTTTAATATTAAATTGTCTTTAGGTTTCTCCTTTTACCTGATCGAGACGGCGGATGTGACCAGTCGACAGGAGATGCTTACTCCTCCATGTCACCTGATCCTACCTTTTCAGGGGTTTCTGTATGCTCTGTTCTCAATATATTTTTTATGGAGTTGAGCATGATTACTTGTTGTTATCTTCATATTTCATCATAACAAATAGTGAACGAAAAAAAATGGAATTCTTTCATAGATAAAGTACGATTTTTCCCCATGAATATAATATTGTACATTCTTTAGAGAATGCGAGGTTCAAAGTGTTTGATATTCGTGATGATGGGATGGTATATACTTAAAGATCCCAAGGAACTTTTAGAAAATTTGAAATCAAATTTTTTTTTTACCAAAATCATGATCAATAACATCATGACGTACGACTTTTCAACTCTTTATACAACCATAAATTAAAGTCCAGGCTTTTTGACACCATTGACAGTTTCTTTTTAATAAAAAAAAAAAAAGAAACTTACATTTATTTACTTTTTCATTAGTCATTTGCAACATTATTTTGTTAAAAAGTATTCTGACTGTACACACAAGAACTCTGAATTTGACATTAAAAATTAAAGATGCATGCGTTTCTGATTGAAATATCTATGTAGTTTATGGAAAACAGGTCTTCCAACATCTGTCAGAATTTTCATGGGTACCAATTGCGCCCCGTTATTAGCTGAAAATTTTTTGTATTCATATGAAGCAGAATTTATTCAATATTCAAAATTTTATTCATGAGAAGAAGAAAAAAACTTGCTGTGGCCTTCAACTCGACATATAGATATATCGACGACACGTAGATATATCGATTATCAATTAACAATAGTTAATTCCATTCATATGTCGACTCGATATATCCCAATAAGCTTGAAATAAAAGATACCACAGAGTCTGACACATCTGTTTCATATTTGGAAATTTTACTAGAAAAAGACGTTAAAAGTAACCTAACAACCAAGCTTTATGACATACGTGATTTTTTCAACTTTTCAATCGCCAACTTCCCTTGCTTATGTAGAAATATATTCTTATCACCTGCATATCGGGTTTATGTCTCTCAGTCAATTCGATACGCAAAGGCATGCTCTACGTACGAACAATTTCTAAATCGATGCAAGCTATTGACAAACAAGTTGAGAAAACAAGAATATTAAAAGTTTCGTTAAAAGTCACCCTTTCGCAAGTTCTTTGGTCGATACAATGACCTTCTCAGCAAATACAATCTATATTTGAGTCAAATGCTGACTGACGTTTTTCATATTAATTGTTAGGCCATGGTCTACACACTGAATGGTCTACGGATTTTTCTGTTTTCCCGATCATGGCAATGAGCATACTGCGGGTGTGACCGCACGGCAGGGGATGCTTACTCCTCCATGGCACCTGATCCCACCTCTGATGTTTAAGAGGTCTGTGTTTGCTCTGCTCCTGATTTGTATTGTTTGAATGGACTTTTGAGCTTGACTACTGTTCGTTATCTCCATATTTGAGTATAATAATTACTTTAACACACGTTTCGGGAAAATAATTAGGAAAACTGTTACAAAATATTCTTCACAGGTGCATTGAAATTATTAGATGTTCCTTTGAGCAGCCATTAGTTTTTGGAAGATTATCAATGTTCTTTTTCTTATAAAATGAGTTTAGTTTTTGATTGGATAGGTAAATATTATATCAGAAAGAATTAAATGGAACTGACATGTACAAAACAAACGAAACTCGAATTAAACATTTTTTATATACAGAAATTACTAGCAAGTTCAATTGCTGCTAGTCGTCTAAAGAATTTGTTTCTCTCATGGCCATTTCAAATATTTTATTGATGGCAAGTATTTATCTTAGTTTTATCTAATTTTTTTTTATTTGGGGGTAAAATATATTGTGAGGAAGATAACTAGCTGATTGCATGCTGTAAATTAAACGAATTACATTTGGCAATGTATTATATTTAGCGCCTTTTGGCGGAAAGAAGCTTCCTCTGCACATTTACATTTCACAAGTACATTTTTTGTTTGTTGTTTAACGTCCCTCTCGAGCATTTTTCACTCATATGGAGTGCCGGTGCCGGTATCCACTTGCCGATGGAGGACTGCAAATTTTGACCTATACTCGGCATCAGGGCCATTGACCTCGGTTTATACGGTCTCATCCAAGGACCGGCCTCCACGTTCTGCAGTGGATTTGAACCTGGGACGTCAGAATCTACTCCTTACATCGCGACTCTAGAGCAAACGCTCAAACCACTGCGCCACGCGGGCGACAATTGAGTTCATTGCTTAATGTCTTTAATTTACAAACATGAAAATGATCTAAATTAGATCTGCGCTAATTAGTTGAAAAATCGATTTTTGGCAACTATATATCTTAAATGATATATATAATATATGTACAGTTTCGTGAGGAAAGTGTTTTTAAGTGACCAAAGATTTTCAAGGTCATTCAAAATGAAAACATGTGCTAAGTAGTCTACACAGGTTCATTAGTTAGTCAACGAAAAACTTTTAAAGATTACTAACGTTTTTATAATAATGGTAAGCTTGTACTTGATATAGAAATGGTTTTTATATTCCAAAGTGTAGAATTGCAACGAGATGCTCATTTAACTTTGAAGTATTTTTTAACATTGTGATCAATACCCTCTGTACGTTCATTAACAATTTGAGTTCCACATCATTGAAGACAACTAGACTTAATTGACTCTGAACTGTTTATGACCTAAGCAATCAATGGAATGTGTATCAATTAAGCTGCCATAACCGAATTGATTTGTTAATAAACATTTTATCGGGTTTATGTCATTCCTGAGTTCTGAATGGCTTACTCCTGAAACAGGTTTTGTTAATTTCAATATACAGGTTAATTAGCACTACACATAGTATTCGAAATTCAATATTATATCCTATTTTTGACTTTATTTCCAACGAATTGCTAATAACATCTTAGTTTGGGGCAATACACACTCAATGAAAAGTTACAAACATCCTAATTTCACATTTAAATAAACAACATATAATTAGAATAAAGAACAAAAAGGAACGCTATAATTGCCGTGGCTCTGTGCCGATTATTAGACATCAAGATCGATAGCCAAATTCATTAAATAATTTCACTAATGTCTTCTTACATGTTAGCCATATCTTGACGTTCCACGGGGTTCATTATCTTCTAGATATGGGCGTCCACTGTCGGGGCTCTTTTAAGAGATTAACTATGTGGAGTCTTTAATTTTTTAGAAGAAAAACCATGTCGATTCTTAATGTAGTTATCATCGTAACGTGTGTGTTTGAAATTTTCTCTTTCTTTACGGACGGTGCAATACCAGGAAATATGTATTACGGAAGAAAGGCCGATGTAAGTTCGGAGTTTTCGAAACTTAGTCCTTTCGGTCTACAGCAGTGTGTTCGATCGTGTTTCCTAGAGGGCTCGTGTAAATCTGTGAATTATAACAGAAATCAACTGACTTGTTATCTCATCGACGAGGATTTGGGGTCTGACTCCCTTGTCGGTGATGGCGACTACATTTTTATCAGCAACATCACGGGAACTCAGGTCCTTTTTTCTAATCTTTTTTGTTTTCAAAATGTTTATGTTGTTTTGAAAAATATGTGAACGATAGCTTGTTAAAAAGTGAGGAACTCATTCCACATTTTAGCAAGAAATTCATTAAAGTCCACAACCAAGAGTGGCGTTAAATGTTGTAATGGCTAATACAATTTAAAATTTATATCAAATACGGTGTAAAAATGTTTATAAGACAGAGAATCATTGACAAGATAAAAAATCTATATAAAGATGTTATTTAAAACGTGCTCTTTTCAATACTATGGTGTCATATTTCTGCCCCCTACATGCAAGATAAATTATGTTAACATGCAACATACTTATGTAGACATGCGACATATTTATGTCAACATGGAAAATAATAATGTTGACATGCAAATTACCAATTTCTGTAGAGATTCAAAATTTAATATTGGTAAACTTACATCCTAACAACAGGATTATGTTGACATGCGACTTATTTATGTTAACATGCTAGATAGTTATGTAGACATGCGACTTATTTATGTCACCATGCAAGATACTTATATACACAAGTAACTTATTTATGTCAACATGCAACTTAATTATGTAGACATGCAAATTATTCATGTCAACCTGCAACTTATTTATGTCAACATGCGAGTTAATTATGTCAACATGCGAGATATGTATATTAACATGCAACTTATTATCTCGCATGTTGACATAAATACCTTGCATATTAGAATATAACTCGCATTTTGATATAAATAAGTCGCGTGTTGACATAAATAAGTCGCATATTAACATAGATGAGTTGCAGGTTAACATTATTATCTTGCATATTAACATTAATAAATCGCATGTCAACAGAATTCTGTTGCATCTTGCTTGTATGATGTCGTATACCGGTGTTAGGAAGTAAGTTTACCAATATTAAAATTAGATTCTCTAAAGAAATTGGTAACTTGTATGTCAACATAATTATTTTGCATGGTGAAATAATTATCTTGCATGTTGGCATACTTTTCTTGCATGTTAACATAATTTATCTTGCATGTAGGGGGCAGAATTATGCCAATACATTTACCGGTGACAACACTGTCAAGAAGGTGTGAAAGTAACTAACAATATTCTGTTCATGCAAATTTAATCGTACTCTATGTGTCTTTTGAAACACAATTAGATACAGCAGCTATCAAAGTTCGCAATCATTCAAATAGTCTATTTTAAAAATAAGTATATATATTTGTAGGATCTGATGAAAGGATGTGTTCAAAACAGTTGTCTTCAGCAAGAGTCTTGTGTAATTTTGAAAAATGCGACAACCTGTATCAAGACTTGTAAGTATTGGATCTATTACGGATGATAGGAATTTCAGGGAAAACTTACATGTAAACTGCAGTGCAATACGTTTCTTAGGAGTGTACTGCAACAAAGGTCAGGATCTTGCCGTTTAAAATAAAGCGAATTAAATCTAAATTTGATTTTAATTTTCATGTCAAGAATTTGTGACGAAATAGTAAGTATTGAGTATCTGAATTCATGTTACTTGACAGACCTGATCAGTGCTTGCACTATGTACTCTAAGTAACCAAAATGAACACGGCGTTTTCTAAAAGATTTTTGTGAACACGGTGTTTTCTAAAAGATTTTTGTGAACACGATGTGTTCTCAAAGATTTTTGTACCGTATTATATACATATAATTTTAGTTTATCTTAATAATATAATTCATGAATCGACTTTATTTTATGTGTGTAATGTATGAAGCAGCAAAAATTTGATTTTGATTTTTTGTTTCAGTTTGTCGACATGGTTTGTATTCGTTTTATGAAAAGACAAAGTCATGTCTAAGAATTGTTAGCCACCCTGCGTTAAACTGGACGGATGCGGAAGGATTCTGTCAGCGAGACGGTGGACATCTTGTGTCTTTGGAAACTGAAAATAAAACCAATCTGGTCGTGGAACTATTAAACTGTAAGTGCAATAATTTTTTTTTAAATGATTACACTCCGTCAATATTTATTAAATGTTTCAGCTAGGTGAAGTGCAATAGCCTACGATATTGTTAGTAACATTTCTTACATGTGGTATATAAGCACCCATTTTATATCTTATATAATTACTTCATGAAAAGAGAATTGAAATAAGATATCCTATAAAAGCAACTGGAAGAAAGGTCCATTATTAACAATTGTTATAATAAAGTACACAGAATTTAAATTAAGGCTATCATTGAAACTTGAGTTGATCCGCAATTACCCTTCAGATTTCAAAGATTACAAAATGATGAACATATACGTCTACTTTGAGGAAAAATTGTTATACGGGTATCTTACAGCTGGTCTTGGATCCAGTGTGACACGATTTTGGATTGGACTGAGTGACAGAGAAACGGAGGGGACCTTTAAGTGGATCGCTGGACATCCTGTGGGATTTTCCAACTGGAACAAAGGTCAGCCGAACGATTACTACGTCAGATGTGTGACAAATTCGTCCGACGCGGACTGTGCCATCACTAGAACAAATGGCAAGTGGGCAGATGACTGCTGTGAAACTCCTCATGGATTTATCTGTGAAATTATTTGAAAACTACCAGCTAAATATCCATAGAAAGTAAACCTTATGTGCATTGAAGATCTCTGAAGAATAGATTCCCATGTTTACATTGGCTTTTCAGGTTTTTTCCCATCAATTATCGTTTGAATAACTTATTCTTTTCGAAAACAAAAAACCCATCTGCGGAGTCTGATTATAATCGAAATGAAGGCCCTGGAAGAAAGTATTGTTGTAATAATAATAAAATATAAAATCTTGTAAATTAAAAAAAAATTCTAAGATGAAGTATGATTAAACGTATGTGAAGTTTACAGTCAATACAAAGCATATGTGCAATTATCCCTTATAGAATTGATAGTAGTGACAGGATATTAAGTATCAGGCTACTATGCTAAACAAATGTAGTTCTACAATACTATTCCTTTTCTCCATTGAAAAATTTTTTCAATTCTGTTCATAAATTGTATTGTTTATATGGACTTCTGATAATGAACACTGTTAGTAATCTTCACATTTCATCATGAAAAGCCATGAGGTGTAAGGGCAAACATGTCTCCCAAATTCAGTATGAGTTCCTGTACATAAGTGAATAGTATTTGAATATTCAAATTATAATGTCTTTTAAATACAAATCACAATTGAAGATTGACAGAAAGAAAATTTCAAATAAAATTAAAAAAAATACTATAGGTACATGTATAACTTATAAAACATAAGAGAAAGCACAGGAATTTGATGATTTGGTTTCTATTTGAGTACCTTGATCTGTACATACATAAAAGCCGTGGATATAGGCTGGTGTAAGTATAAACATAAAGATCCTTATAGAATATTTAGTGTCTTCTTTATATACTGAAAATAACATTTGTCAACGACATTGCAATTGTCAATTCATGTTTTCGTCTGTAACTCTGTCTGTTTGCAGGATATTTCAGGAAGCTGTTTAATTTTAAAATGATTTTAAAAAAAACTTGTTCCAAGCAAATCATATGTACAATTATGCTTACTTTTGCGCGTAAGATTCTCAGATAAATAAAGGAAAGTCGACTTATGATACGATAAATGTCTTTAAATCTGAGAAGATATATTTTAATTATTTGTGCCTTTGATTAATTGATAGAGAAAAGTTAACAGCATGTGTTTACTTTTCTGACAAGTCTGTCAATATCCAATCGTGTTCTCAATGAAATATGAAGATAACGAACAGTATTCAATCTCAAAAATCCAATGAAACGATACAAATTTGCAGCAGAGCAAACACGGACCTCAAAATTTAGAGGTGGGATCGGTCCCATGCAGGAGTGAGCATTCCCTGTCGACCGGTCACACCCGCCTTGTCATGATCGGGAAAAAACCCGAAAAAATCCGTAGACAGTTCAGTGTATAAATAAGGGCCTAACAATTAGTATAAAAAACGTCAGTCAGCATTTGACTCAATGATAGGTTGTATGTGCTGACAAGGTCATTGTATCGACCATAAAACTTGCGAAAAGATGACTTCAAACGAGACTGTTGATATTCTTGTTTCATCAACTTGTTTGTCGATAGCTTGCCTCGATTTAGTAATTGTTCATACGTAGAGCATGCTCTTGCGTATCGAATCATCTGAGAGACATAGACCTCAAATGCAGGCGATAAGGGTATATTTCTACATAATTAAGGGAAGTTGACGATTGAAAAGTTGAAGTCATCACGTTTATCATAAAGCTTTGTTGTTAGGTTACTGGTATCTTTTATTTCAAGCTCACTGGGATATATCGAGTCGACATATGAATGAAAGTAACTATTGTTAATTGATAATCCGTCGTCGATATATCTACATGTCGAGTTAAAGGCCACAGCAAATGTTTTCTTCTTCTCATGTAGAAGTTTTTGAATAAATTCTGCTTCATTTGAATACAAAAATAGGTCTGCTAATAAGGGGCGCAATTGGTACCCAAGGGAATTCCAACAGATTGTTGGAAGACCTGATCTTCAAAAACTACATAGATATTGTCAATCAAAAACTCAAGCATCTTTTTAATCTCAACTTCAAAGTACAAAGTAAGTATATTTACGAGTTCCATTTTTATTGAAAAAGCAACTGTCTATGATGTCAAAAAGCCTGGACTTCAATTTATCGTGAGGAATGGTTGTATAAAGTGTTGAGACGTCGTACGTTTTGAAGCTATAGAGTTTAGTAAACTTTTGTGATTCCAAATATTTTCCCAAATTTCTTTTAATTTTTTTCAGTATCCACATCTGATTTACACCACTTCTCGAATACAATGTTGTAAGTAATCCTGAACTTTCTCCTTCATTACAGTAAATATTTTAGTGAGGAGTAAAGAAAGAGGCTTGGTAGAACATTTACTGGAACCCACAATATATTTTTGTTTGTAAGGATTTTTATGAAGTTTAGGAATCTAGTAAAGGTATGGTAATTCAAATTCATTTTGATTTTTGGGAATATTAAAAATATATAAAAAAAAATGTGAAGAATTAAAAAAAAATTCTGCTGCACGTATTGTAACTAGTCTTCCAGTTTACTTCTCTCGTAATTCTCTATATTGTGAAACAGGATGGGAAACACTTGCTAATAGCAGAGAACAGAGGTATTACATTTAATGCTTGAAATGAAATTGCACCAGAGTATTATTACCTAATATTTACCTTTGCAAATGTTTTCTTTTATATAACACTATTAAAAGCAACGCGTATCTATATCCGTATAAACACTGGTTCCTCGCGTCATAAACGTTCGACGTAATTTCTCAGTGACGTCATAAAGGGTCGACGCGCAATCAATAGATCAAACTTGTGCCGTTGAGTTTGAAAAAATAAAACATTTCACGCGTTAAAGGTTATAATCAGGCTAATATATGATATGAATAAGTCACAAATGTAAATATAAGTAATAAGGTATCATTTGTAAACATCTATCGGGATATAAATACGGGTTGGTACGAGATCAAATTTACCATAAAGCCCTTCTGACCCGTATTTATATCCCGATAGATGTTTAAAAATGATACCTTATTTCTTAAGTGAAAATTCACAAACTCTCCCCCACACTTCTCCCCCTTTGGAGAGAGACTAACTATGCGACAACTTTTATAATTAATGATATCGAAAAATGAAATGTATTTTCATACTCATAATAATCATGATAATTTTATTTAGTATGGGAAAAATGTTCGACCCTTACAAAAACTTAAAATCGGTAATTTAATTCTTATTTGAGTACTTGATCTTTGCATACATACTTTTAATCTGTGGGGAAAAAAATTGGAAAATTTATAGGTACCTGTAGAATTTTTGCAAATTACAAATGTAAATGAAGTAATTTTAGAAATTGGCAGTCATTCTTGCCAATGAAATTGTAAATATTTATTACATATGTTTTCTCCTTTTAGTCGTCTTTACGTAACGGATATTTAGACATAAAAAAGCCAAGTCAACTGAAGATAACTTTGTTTTAATCTGAGATTATATCTTGAATGAATTGTTCGTACTTTTGAATTATTGATTGAATAAAGTTAAAGACATGTGTTTGCATTTCTGACTATTTTTTTAATCTACGGTAAATACCTGTAAACAATGAGAACCAGTAAAAATAGAACATATTACAAACAAGAAAAAGATCGCTTTAAAATCAAAAATCATGGAGAATATGCGCATCGAATCAACAGTAAAGTACATGCAAATAAATCAAAAATTAAATCATTTGAGTATGAATTGTCAGAAAAAAGGTAACTAAAAAACAAGACAACAATATATATATATATATATATATATATATATATATATATATATATATATATATATATATATATATATATATATATATATATATATATATATATATATATATATATAAGAAGCATACTTAGTACTTGTGCCAAGTTAATTATGTGGCAAACGTATCAGAAGCCAATGCCGTACAACAAATGGTTAAAAACACTCATACTAAAATCTGCATGATTTTATTTTCAAAACCCAGAATATTTCATCTTTATTCTCATATTTCTAGCTAGCTGTTTATACGAAGTCGTTTTGCGGGTAAAATGCCGTCAAGATACATTTTCAATTTAAGTATGACGTAGTACAGATACATGTAATACTTAATTCCAGTTTTTCACAGTTTTTTCTCTTTATTCCACTTTGAATAAGATAAATATTTGAGGGGAAAAAATGTTCTTTTTACTAAGATGTTAAGCGATAAAATATCTCCTTATATTTTATGTTTTGGAATTTAATGAGACTGTTCTTTTTAATTTGCTTGTTTGTGTCTGAACTGTAGATAATAATTCTACCCGGAATTATTGTAGTTTAGCCTACTAATTATTGTTACGCCGGAATTATTGTGGTTTAGCCTACTAATTATTGTTATGAATACAACTAATTACAATACAGAATCCCCTTTAACACGAAAAATCCAATATCTATCACTGATAACTAGACGAAAAAATTCCATAATGGCAGGACGTTATAAATGATTATATAACAGTAACTTTGATCATTCCGCATTTTCAAATTATGCAACAATTTTAGGGCCTAAGTTATTTTCTATCGTTCTCTCCTATCGCCACAAATATTTTCACTCTTTAGTCCAACTCGGTGAAAATGAGAAGATTCTTTCTTTTATCTTCGTTAACGCTTCTGAAAGTAGATTCAAGCCATGAAGATTCAAGTTTATGTCCACTCCCGGGAGCAATTAATGAAGGACTGAGATATCCAGGGACTGACTTCTATGACAAAATTGACAACATTGGTCCAATGCAGTGTCACCGTGAGTGTTCTTTGGTCACCATCTGTCAGTCTGTAAATTACGACAAACAAAGATTTACTTGCTACCTTTACAACTTCCGGGTCAATATGTCTGCTCTAGAGACGGATGCATCGCTCATACTCATCAACGATATTATCAGGACAAAGGTATATTAAACATACCCTCCTCCTCCCCCCCGCGTTAACGTTAGAACTGTAGTTTCTTTGAAATTTCGCTAAGCCTTGTATTTTTGGAAGTTTTTGTTTAACATGATTTCTCATTGAAAATATTTCGA